ATAAATAAATAAATAAATAAATAAATAAATAAATAAATAAATAAATAAATAAATAAATAAATCTTAGCCAGGGGTTTTCAGAACACAGAATTAAAAAGGAAGAAGCTGGTATAATCTCAAGAGGAGGGGAGATGAAAAGGTTCATCTGGGAACTGTGTATTTGTGTGAAAGCCTTCACAACCAAGGCTGCTACCTGCTCCTTCAGCAAGAGTGAGAGTCCAGAAGGACCCACAGATAACCAACCAGTTTTGACTGGGATAATACAATCCTATCCTGAACCAAAGAACCACTTTCCTGGGATTAAACTTTAGCCTGTTTTGCAGTTGTTCTTTCATCCTTCCATAAGAAGGATAATTCAGGTCATTTTAAAAAGGGTTGATAAATGACAATCTGAGGATGCAGTAAAAATGGAGACAATATTGGCCTCAGATCTCAGCTTTTACCCATGTCTGACCACACTTTTTTTTTGCCTAATTTCAAAATAGTGGGATTCTATTCTAAGTGTCTCTTTGGCCACTTTATTTCCCATAGCACCTTGATAAATTCCCTGCAATCTCATGATCTGGGAGATGCTGCTTGAGTACTATCTAGGACTGCTTGAGTACTATCTAGGACTGCTATCACCCTAGTATTCCACTTGGCAACTAAGGCCTCAGGAAAACTGCCCAACAAGATCTCAGGAAATTCCCCAAAGTTCTCTGGGAATTATCAGGAGTATCACAAGTTAATAGTTCCATTGTCCCTCAAAATTGATGACCCCAAAATAGCAATCAAGCAGTAATCTGACCATAACAAAAGACAGGAATTAATCATCAGATCATGTTGTATCTGCCCGAAGGCAAGAATTAGAGCTGATGTATGGCCTTCTTCGTGGGTTAGGTTAGTAGGGCAGCTACAAACTCCCAGTCCTCTGAGGGACAGCAAGAAGGGTCAGAATCACAAAACTACAGTATAATGAAATATTTTAGTTCATTTGGATTCTACTTCATGAGTTGAAGTAGATACAAGAAAAAAGCTTCACCCTTTTTTTTAAATCAAGAGATGCATTATTTCATGCTGATTGGGAATTCTGAGGGTTTACGCCCAACACATCTGCTGGGCATCTGGTCAGAAAAATTTCTCTAACTCTCTTCTGAAAAGAGAAGGACAATCTATAACAAACTTGCCAAGTTTAAAGACTCCTGATCTACATGCATGATGCTAAAATAGACAGTTTCCTTTTGCATGGGTGTTTTATAAACATCAAAAGCTTGCTAGAACCATCATTATTTATTTAATTTGTATCCCAATGACTCTAGGCAGTTAATATCATTCAAGATTAGAACAACCACTTGCAGAGAATATTTAAAACATTTTCCTTCCTCACTTCAATTGCCGTTTGGCAACGGAGGGTGGGAGATTATGATCAGAACTATGGTTGAATAGGAAGAAGTCCTTAATTGTTTTGCAACAGACAGGAAAGAACTTTTCTTTATTCATTTTCTGTACTCTAACGCCAATGTAAACTGTAAGGATTCCCACAGTTTATATCAGACATTAAAAATACATATTTAAAAGAATAATATTTTCTAAAGTCTAGTAAAATAATTGCCAATAGTAAAACATAGTGATTCATCTGATAAAATTTTTGTAGCTGAATTCCTTCATAAAAATATGCTTTCTTTCTTATCATTATTAAGTTAACATTATTATGTTTATTTCTGTGGTTCAATAAAGTGCACATGTACACACAGAATCCCAATTGTCACAGTTCTCTAATAAGTCACTGAGGTTACTATTCTAGTTTTTTCTCAGCATAACATTTATATTAACCCATATCATGATTTATCTATATATATTATAAAACTATTTCAAGTTGATTCATTTGCGTAAGAGCTAAGCCTGAAATAGAATCTATGGAAGTTCACAATACCTTATATATAGAACTTATATGTTTGTAAGTAAAATAACCACACTCAAGTACTTTCTTTTCTATATATTGCATTCCCCTACATAATGGAAAATGAATGAATGAATGAGTGAATGAATGAATGAATATACTCTACTAACCTGCCCAGCAAAGATTCCACAGACACCAATAATGCAGAGGATATTGAAAACGGCAGAACCAACAATGGTTCCAACTCCTACATCACCATGAGTAATAAACACACCTGGTTGAATACACAAAAAGAGAAAGGATGGTGAGTTTTAGCTTTCGCTGGGATTAAAAGAATTTAGAAATTTATTACTCATGTCTCAGGTCTAACATGGTGGTCAATTCTGTAAAAGCAGTGAGCTCTACTCCCCAAGGCAGACATTTGTCAAGAATCTTTAATGGGAATTCCAGCACCGAACTAGTTGATAAGAGTGGATTTGATGGCTGAAAAGGCATCTATGATTCCCTGAGAAAATAACCTTCTAGTCTGCAAAAGTGAAGGGAGCATTAGTATACTATGGAAGTGACTGGCAATCTCACAGGCCCCCCTAAGAAGTCCACATGTCTAATAGGCCAGCTCTTTCCCGCTGTTAGTTAGAGAAAGCTTTTTAAAATTTAATTGGATGTGGGAGAAGGGTGACATGACCATCCAGGATCATCCAGGTAGTCTTCAACTTACGACCACAATTGAGTCCAAAATTTATGTTGCTAAGTGAGACATTTGTTAAGTGAGTTTTGACCCATTTTAAAATCTTTCTTGCTACAGTTGTTAAGTGAATCACTGCAGTTGTTAAGTTAATAACATGGTTGTTATTAACCATGAGGGGCTGCAGACCAGAGGGGCTCTGGTTTCCATGTTGCCTGCATCCCATGGATGGGGCTTCTTTGATTGTTTGTGTGGCCTGGTTTCTGACATGCTGGAAACATGGACCAGGGTTTGGGGACTCCTGTGTTAGATAATGATTCCATCAAAATCAGTCTAACAGCAGAAAACCTTTTCAGATGGCATGGTCTTCACTGGTATAGGACAGGCAGGGGAGACAAATGAATATATGAACTACGGACACAAGATGCGCTGTGCAAGGATATCTACAATAACAGGCAAATGTATATTTGGTGGAGAGATACAGAAGTCTATTGTAATTATAACATGGCAGACAGGAAAATTATTTATAAGCATAATCACATTAACTTCATTTAATGTTAATTTGACAGATATAAAGTCAAATATAATTATTTTATTGATCTCATCCACACCCTGGTAAACCATGCCCAGGTATGCTTTAGTGGAAGTGGAAGACTCCTAACAAAATCCAAAATAGCCACTGGGTACAGCTATTCTGAAAATCACAGGACAATCACAGGAAATTAACTGTAGACTAGCTGTTTTTGTGATCTGCTTATGGGAAGAATTTGCATATCTTGTTAATAACAACCATGTTATTAACTTAACACTTACCTATGACTGATGCAAATAACTCAGGGGTTGAACTTCCAGCAGCCATGAATGTGGCTCCTGCAACATCTTCACTCAGATGTAGTTTCTGGGGAAAAATAAAGAGAAGAATTCAATATTTCACTAGCTGTAGCCCAGTTTACAGAATCTGTATATCTGATGAAGAAGGGAAAGCAAAGTCAAATACTTTGAGATTTAAACCTCTATGGAGATTCTCAATCTTCGTTTGAGATCGAGATCGAGTTGTTTGAGATTTAAACATCTTTCAGAATAGAATTCAACAAATAGGAGCAAGCTATACATAGGGCAATATATTAACAGAGGGCTTATTTGGTCAGCCTGCATCCCTGCAAGGTGTCTCTCTTAGCATATCACAAACTGATTTAGAAAGATGAAAATTATTTTCACATACCTCACAAATTTTTTCTAAAGATGGAACAAAGAAATCATCGCATACAATAGCCAAGGCATAGAACATATACAGAGCCTGTAGAAAAGACACACAGCAGATATATTGATTAAAATATTACAAAATAAACTAGATACAAGTAATGTAGGACAAGAAAATACTGGCAGCCTCATACAGTCACCTCACCATTAAAGATCCTATTGGATCTTTAAACTAGAAAATGTTGAGCCTAGATATTCTTTGGGAGCCATCTTGGAATGCAAAATTAAGCTGTGTTTTGGTATTATAAAATACTGCTTTTTGTACTGCTTTTCAAGTCAGAAAAGTTTCTCAAGGTTGATTTTTTTTTTTTGAGGGAAAAAAAGCAAAGGTGAAATGCCAGAAATATAAACCAAAATCTTTAAGGAGCAACAATAATATAGAGCAAACTTTACAAACTTTAAGCAGATGGTAAGGGCCACCTGTGGGCAGTGCTTTGATATCCAGAGGCCACAGACCAAATATTGGAGGGAGCGATATGCAAAGTAGGTTGGATCATAGCAATTAAATGAGGAAATAACTTTTGTTGGATTTTTTGCCCTGAACAGTTCTTGGTGACTTCTTTTCTCCATTAATCTAATGGATCCAGCCAGTGAAAAACCAAATCCAGAGGAGTAGCAAAGTATATGAGTTGAGCTTGGAAACACACCAGTGGATTTGCACCAGTTGAAGGTTGTGAATTGGCTTATAATTTGTTTAAATATATTAGATACATATATATTATGGATACATAAGTGAGTTGCCAATCTTCAGAACATTTTTATTTCTGTCCTATTCTTTCTGCAATATTCTTAGGATACTTTGCTTTTCCTTTAAAGAATCTGATATCATCCTGGTTAAGTCTAATCTCTGCCTGAGAAAAATATACATCCCCAAAGCCTTCTGGAAGAGATGGCTATAAATAGGTCTCCCCTGTCCTGTTCCTGTTGAAGACACCATCTGGGTTGCAAGGATTAGTTGGTGACAACACCGTTGCCCGGGGCACATCCATGGGGGCTCCTTTCATGTCCCCGCCAAGCAACAAATGACTGGAGGATCATCCCACCATGCAGCAGCACTCGGGTCTTGAATGCGGGCTTGGTAACCTCCAACTCAGTATCCTGCTCAGTATCTTAACCATGTGAGCCATCACGCTCAATGTAAATAAGTACTTGAGTATATTTTGAGTATGCTTCAGATAGGCGTGCATAAGCGCACCAGCATGCCTACTGTCCCTGTCTTACTGTCCCCATTTATCTGTATTTACTTCCTTGTTCATGTTTATGTTCATACTTATACCTGCTATCTTGTACAAGTTTGACAAACAAACAAATACATAAATATTCTAGGAATACTTACACCAAGAATATGAAGCAATACCGCTCCTTGCTGCCTTTCTTTGTTTTTGAAAAAATCCTGAGGAAATTCATGAATTGCTGAAATAAGAAAAAAAAATGTATTGAAATTGTTTAAAACTTTAGCAACCAGAAAATGTTTGGGTTAGCTGTGTGTTGCTTCTCTGGAAGAGAAATAATATACCTGAAGTATAAATAAACCACAAATGCAAAGGAGAGACTATAGCTTCAGTGCAGGAACACATTTGTTCTAGTGCAGGGGTCTCCAACCTTGGCAATTTTAAGACTTGTGGACTTTGCTGGCTGAGGAATTCTGGGAGTCAAAGTCCACAAGTCTTAAAGTTGCCAAGGTTGGAGACTCCTGGTCTAGTGGTTAAGGCACAGGCCAGACACTGGGAGACTGTGAGTTCTAGCCCTGCCTTAGCCATGAAAACCAGCTGGGTAACTTTGGGCCAGTCACTCTTTCTCTCAACCCAACTCACCTCACAGTATTGTTGTTGTGGAGAAAATAAGAGTTGGATGTGTTGGATACGTTCAACACCTTAAGTTATTTGCAAAAATAATAAAGGTGGGATACAAATAAATAAATAAAAGGTGGGATACAAAAAAAATAAGGAAAAATAAACAATCTTTTACACAAAATATTTCCTCCCAATTTGTGGACTAATTCTAACAACATTCTTTTGTCAATCTGCAGGTCTAAATTAAAAGTCAACTTTCTGCTACCTGTACCGCTGGCAGCAGTTTGACGCTTCCAGCAAAGCTTAGAAATTGGTGGTTACTACTGTTTTTGTCCCCTAGATTTTTGAGAGAAAAGCTATTGCTCTAAGATTTGCTTGTGTTTTAAGAGGACATTTTAGTTCCACTGAAGTGAATCACAGACACTGAGAGCTTTTAGCACAGATTCTTTTGCTTATCTCCCAGCAAAGCAGCTATTACTGTGGACTATCCAAACAGTATGACTTCCCTACCATCTCTGCATGTGTTCAACTACTGACGAAGCTATATTTTAGCAAGATGTGGAAGCCACAGATGTTCCCATCGCTGCTTTATGTGATGGTTGCAAATCAGGACTGCTCCCCTGCCCAGAGTACTTTGTATGTTTCTATCCTCTCTTTTCTGGAATTAATGGCCTTTTCTTAACACAGGTAGACGTGCTAATAAATGTGGAGAACTATCTTAAAATCAGGGATTCTGTATCTTGTAATAAGGCTTTCAAATATATCTCAAGAAGCATTTATGTTCCTCGTTTGATTATGACAAGATCTGAAGTTTTCTTGATGCATCAACAAGTAGAATATATGGAGGATGAAGGAGATGCTGCAGTCCCTTCCTTATCAACATTCCCTAAATTAACTGAAGGTCCATAAGGAGGATGTGGCTGTATGCAGATGGCAATGATACTTGCAGACTCCATGCACTAAGTAAATATCCCTCTACAGTGTCTATGGAGATTCTCAGTCATCCAGATCATGGTTGTCTGGTTGTCTCAAAGATGCTTTTTCAAAAGGCAACTGGGCTATTTTATCTTTGAGGAAGAAGAAGTTTAGCTTCTCATCCAAAAAGCTTCATCAGGAGCTGTGGTGGTGCAGTATTACAAGCTTATTCTACTGACTGTGGATTGCCAGCAGTTCAATTTTCACTGGCTCATGTTTGATTCAGCCTCCCATCCTTCGGAGGTTGCTGAAATGAGGACCCATATTGGGGGCGATATGTTGACTCTGTAAACTGCTTAGAGAGGGCTGTAAAGCACTGTGAAGCAGTATGTAAGTCTAAGTGCTATTGCTATCAGAACTGATGAAGCTTCTTGGATGAGAAGTGAAACATATTCTTCAAGGGAAAAAAGATAGCCTAGTTGCCTTTTGAAAAAGCACCTTTGACACATCCTTACATGGTCTTTTTGTGGCAAGGGGAGAACCTGTAAAGAGCTTGTTTGTATACCTGCACATTTGGAAGAAGCTTTTCTTTTCAGGGATAGAACTGCAAAAACAAGACTTATCTGGTTTTGCTAACCACCATTTTTAAAAATGCCAACTGCTAACCACTGTTTCTAAAAAGTTCAGGCTTAGTCTCCAGGATTTCTGGAATCCTAACCAAAAGGTACTAAATAAAGTCATGCTAATGATGCCAACTACATTAAAGAACTGAATAATGTATAACGTAGTCTGGAGCATTGCTGATAAACCACTCCAAAATTCAATAAGGCAATAGAGAACAGCACATAAAATGTTATTTAAATATAAATGTGACTTTTCCCTATTGAATTTTTTATGCTCATTGGCTAAATGCCAATTCTTCAAAAACCATAAAAGCAAAGCTATGTTTTTACAAGTCAGTTTTATTCAGTACAGTTTTTCAACTGCTAGTAAACCACAATATCATCTGCCCTTAAAATATAACAACTGTTGTCTTCTCATATCCCATTTTTATCTGTAAAGAAATCCTTCAAGTCTTGTCATTTCAGTCCCAGTTAGCAATTAGTCCATGAAGGGTTATCTGAGATAACAACATATCTATTTTAACTTTGACCCAATGAAATAACTTTATATTTCTTTCTTTTACTTTTACAAATCTTGATATTTGGTCCTTTCAAATAATGTCCTAGAATTTGATTTTTGTATTATTATTTTTCTTGTTCCCTTTATACATATTTTTTCAAAGTTTTAATAAGCCTCTTTTGTAAATCCAATATAGGAATATTATCCAGATCACTCTCTTGGTTTGTATCTTTTTTAATTATCAAGACATCAGTTGGTTTCTTTTGTATGTCCAGTGTAACATCTTTTTCCATGTCATTCTTGTAGCTTGTCATTGTAGACTGAGTGCAAGGGAGGGGTCAAACACACCATCAGTCTCAAGTCCCTTCTGATCTACAAGAGATTTAAGTTCAGGCCATTTTGAATTCCATTGACTCTTATCTACCACCCAGTTGCTTTGACCATTAGCAGTTCAGATTCTTGTAGAGAGCATAAGCTTGCAATAAACCTTTATATTCATTTGAACTGCCTGGACTTCTGATTTTCCCATGCTTGATAGTCATTTTTAAATCCACTTTCAGATCAGTTTTAATCTTGTAAGGGAAAACTTGTTCCTCTTCCAAAATATCTTGTTAACTTTATCTATAGAAATAAGCACTTTTGAGAGCACTGTTCAAACATATCCTTCAATATATCAATATTAAAATACTTTTCTTCATTTCATATTCCTAAGTCAAGTTTCAGTATTCTTCTCCTTTAGTTGTAATTTTTAGTTCCTTCTAGTTCCCTGTAGTGTCCAATTTTTTAAATCTTACATTAAAAAAAGAAGTCAGAACAAAAGCATTTTCCCATGGGATGGATTTTTATAATTAAATTCAAAATCTTATTTCAAATTTATCTGGACCCTTAGTCCATTTGTAACTTTCTAGAATCCAAGTTTTAATTACCTTTTTTTGCGGTTTAATCCCAAAAAATTTTTAAGTCTTTCAGCCTGTATTTAAAACTTCTTTTAGTAAGAATTGAAGGAAACTCACTCAACTCAGTGCTATAAAATCTGAAGATCCAAAGGTTCTTAAAAGCTGAAAAGCAGTTAACAAGCAATTTCCAAAAGTGATTAGAAAAGATAGGGCGAGGACCCAATGTCCTTTTTGAAGGTATCAAATATGGTTTCAGCAAAATTTAAATATAAATTTACTACCTCAATTCCAACTACTGCTGGCCTTAAATGCAAGCTACTTAATGCAAGAAGCCTCGCGAATAAAATACCTGAATTTTTCCTCCTACTAAATGTGGCTAAATTCGACATTATATTTGTCTGTGAAACATGGCTTAACACATCTCTCCCTGACTCCATTACCACAGTAAGAGACTATCATGTTTACCGATCAGATCGTGAAATTCGTAGAGGAGGTAGTGTTGCTATCTTCTATAAAAAGTCCTTACATCTAAAAAATATCCAAGTTACCCAGGAGCTTGCTCTTCCTGAGACCATCATCTGTGAACTATCCTTAAATATCACAATTCGATTCTTACTATGTTACAGAGCACCTGATTATGACATCGAACATGTAAACAAGCTAAATACACTACTAACGTGGGCAGCATCCTGCCCATACCCTTTTATCTTTCTTGGTGATTTCAATCTACCTCATATTGACTGGACCCTAAATGAATGTACAATTGAAACCATACACGCAACCTTCTACAATGCTGTTACAAATCTGGGACTGGAACAACTAGTAACCAACAACACTAGACTAAACAACTGCCTCGATCTCATCTTCTGCAATAGTTTGAATTTAATTTACGGAATACAAACTAAAGAACCCTTTTCCAGCAGTGACCACAATATGATTGACTTTTGTCTCAACATACGCCCACACAAAAACCACCACAATGATGAAATCCCCAATTATAACTTCAAAAAAGGCAACTACGATCTTATAGACAACGATCTCTCATCCCTTGATTGGCAATCTCTATTCACTGGATGCAATACTGTTGAAGACCATTACAACATATTTTTACTTGAAGTCAAAAGAGTCATCAAACTATATGTACCAACAACAACTCCCAAAACAAAACAAAAAAACAGATTACCCATAACAATAAGGAAACTTCAATCCAAAAAGAGATCACTCTGGCGGAAAAACAAATCTGGTCACGTTGCCAATTTCAAAAGCCGATACAAAAATTTATGCCACCAGATAAAGACTGAATGCACCAATTATCACATTAAACAAGAGGAAAACCTTCTAAGCACCAATTCCACCCGTGCTTTTTACAATTTTGTAAACAACAAACTAAAAGACTCAAGGTCCATCCCACCCCTGATAGGACCTAATGGTAAAGACTGCAACGACGACACCATTAAAGCCAACATCCTTAACACATTCTTCGGCTCAGTATTTGTAAACAGCAATGGATCATGCCCAGTATTTCCTAGCCGAACCACAGATAACTACAATGATCTAATACATATCGATTTTACAGAAGACACTGTTGAAAAAGCACTTCACAATCTAAAACCATCTCTATCTATTGGACCGGATGGAATATGTGCCTACTTCTTAAAAAAGCTACCCACTGCCATAGCCAAACCTC